CAGGACCTCCTACCTCCTATAGAGTAATGCTCTGCATGCCTAGGGGGGCACGTGACGCTCTGCTAGAGGCCACGCTGTACCGGGTGCAGCCAGCAGGTGGCGCTCCGCTGTGCAACGATGGGATGCAGCAAAGCTGGCACAATGGCGATTATTCTGTCGTATTTTAGACGGTCCGAAGTGACGAGAAGAGCAAACGTGCAACAGAAATAGACCTGTTGATCTGCCAGAAACCCAGTGAGCTCTTAAATTCCTGTCTGAGCTGTCTCTGATCCAACTGAAATCCTAAGTAGTGTTGTCAGCCCCGTCTGGACTACAGAAAACGCTCTCCCTCTCTTTTCATGTCTATAACATTAGGGGAGGGGGGGTCTGTACCAAGTGGAACTCAGGCAGGGCTGAGGTAAGGTGTTCTGTGGTCCAGCAGACGATAACAAGGCATGTTCTGGAAATCCAGCGAGTCCCTGACTTCCTGCTGACAACGCTGCCTCAGCTGCACTGAGGTGCCGAGCAGTGTTGTCAGCAGGAAGTCAGGAACTCGCTGGATTTCCAGAAGATGGGAAAGGAATTCTGTAGTGCGCCAGAGGAGAACTCAGGCTTTGCTGACAACACTGCACGGGATTTAGCAGAGGCAGAGTTGTCAGCTCATGCAAGAAGTCAGGAGCTCACTGTATTTCCAAAACATGTGGGAGGAGCTCTGTAGTGCACCAGAGGAGAACTCGGGCAGGGATAAGGTATGGGTAAAGCGTTCTGTAATCCGGCAGGAGATAATGAGGCAGGGCTGACAACACTGCTTGGGAACTTAGTGCGGCGGAAGCAGTGTTGTCAGCTCACCACAGGAAGTCAGGAGCTCATAGGATTTCCGAAACATGTGGGAAGACTCCGGTGTTCTATCGAAAGCTCAAACCTATCGAGATCTCCAACTACCTCACTTCCGGTGCTCAGACAGACTGGAGCTGTGTACAGTTGCGGTGCGCATAGCGTTCTCAGAATACTCGTCCAGTTTCCCACTTGCTGAATATTGTTACAATGCAGCTGTACAGAAGCTCCGCCAGTCTTTCTAGCTCAGGCTTTGCTGACAACACTGCACGGGATTTTCGGTGTAGCAGAGGCAGAGTTGTCAGCTCATGCAAGAAGTCAGGAGCTCACTGTATTTCCAAAACATGTGGGAGGAGCTCTGTAGTGCACCAGAGGAGAACTCGGGCAGGGATAAGGTATGGGTAAAGCGTTCTGTAATCCGGCAGGAGATAATGAGGCAGGGCTGACAACACTGCTTGGGAACTTAGTGCGGCGGAAGCAGTGTTGTCAGCTCACCACAGGAAGTCAGGAGCTCATAGGATTTCCGAAACATGTGGGAAGACTCCGGTGTTCTATCGAAAGCTCAAACCTATCGAGATCTCCAACTACCTCACTTCCGGTGCTCAGACAGACTGGAGCTGTGTACAGTTGCGGTGCGCATAGCGTTCTCAGAATACTCGTCCAGTTTCCCACTTGCTGAATATTGTTACAATGCAGCTGTACAGAAGCTCCGCCAGTCTTTCTGTTTTGCAGTCTAACTCCGTCTGGTCGAAATCCCCAACTTGCAAGTAGCCGGCAGTGAGGCAGTTGGAGCTTTCGACGAGCTGGAGCTTTCGATAAAACACCGGCCTTGCTGACAACACTGTTTGGGATTTCATTGTAGCTGAGGCAGCGTTGTCAGCTCATACAGTAAGTCAGGAGCTCGCTGGATTTCTGGCAGATCAGGTATTCTTCTGTAGAGTAAAGGGATAAAAAACACGGAGAAAACGCACATACACAGCGGACACGTTCTTCATATGTTTGTTTTTTTACAATTTGCCCAGATACACACTATAGCAGGGGTCAGCAACCTCAGCTGTTGTGGAACTACAAGTCCCATAAGGCAATGCAAGACTGACCGCTACAGGCACGTCTCCCAGAGCCATGGTGGGAGTTGTAGTCTCACCACAGCTGGTGCACCAAGTTTACCAACCCCTGCACAATAACTTGCCGCCGTACGGCCCGCACTGGCTCTTGGAATCATCACTTCAGCCTCGGGTTTTATATCCAAAATCCGCCACGTGTGCCGACCAATGAGGATTGAAGAGACGCAGAGACCGCTTTGGGGTTTGTTTGTTTTTTTAACATTCAGGACGTCGTTGGATTTGAGGAATGAGTTTTGGTCGCCGCCGTTGGAATCTCCGACCCCTACAGTGGAGAGGTACCAGAGGCCATCGGGCCGGAACCCTTTATGGGGCCATTCACTGTAACATTGTATCAATAATCCAGATACAGACCGGCTGGGACCTGTTACTGTATCTGATCAGAGGCTACGAGCACCAGATTATATTTAGACAGGTTCCCTTTAAAGGAGAACTATGAGGTGCGGGTGCTTTCACTCAGCCTCATAGTTCTAGCCGACCTGTGACAATGAGACTGTCACAGGTCGGCTCAGTAGATCGGGAGGTGAGCGAACACATACCGGCGTTCGCTCACCTCTCGATCCTGTCACGACTCTCTGCCGTGACAGGGGAGGGGCTGGATTCCCCCCTCCCCGCTCCGATCCGCCAGCGCTGACTGGCGGAACGGACGGGGGAGGGTACAGCTAGGCAGAGCCAGCTGTCACTCACGCAGCTGGGCGGATCCCGTCATCTAAGTCGGGATCCACTTCAGCTTCTCAGTATATAGAGAGCTGTAGCTCCCTATATACTGAGCTTAGGGTGACGGGAGGACGCTAGATTGTGTCCTCCCGTCACCCTAAGGAGAACTATGGGGGTAAACACTGACCCCATAGTTCTCCTTTAAGTCGAATCTATAGGATACGTATAGGGTACGGCCGGGACGTCGGAGAATAAATAAGAGATTCGGTTCCATAACTTCATTACAGACCAACATTGTAACAATAAATGACATCAGAAGCTAAAACAGTTTTTTTATCACTCTGGATGGAGCAGGAGAAGGTTAAAGCGGAACTCCGGGCACAAAAACATTTCACTGAACTCTATTCCTCAATAGACACAAAGGATATAAATCCACTTTGCGCGCACCAAACGCCTTTACAAGCCCGGATATCAGCATGTAAAAGTAGCGGTGACATCATCACTGTGCTGTACGTAGCCTGTGCAGAGAGCAGAGCTGAGGAGGCGGAGACAAGACCAGTCACCCTGCACAAGGAGAGAGCAGCAGTGACGGTCTTTATTAAAGGAGGGGGCGGAGACAAGACCAGTCACCCTGCACAAGGAGAGAGCAGCAGTGAGCGGTGTTTATTACAGGAGGGGGCGGAGACAAGACCAGTCACCCTGCACAAGGAGAGAGAGCAGCAGTGAGCGGTCTTTATTACAGGAAGCTCCAAGTCTTACACGGGATTACTGCACAGATCTGGAAGAAATACACAAAGCTCACCGAGATTCCAGAGGAATACACATGACTCTTCTATGAGGACAATGTTTGGTTATCCCGGAGTTCAGATTTAAAACCCCTATCGAGTTATTTTTGTTGCTGTGTCCCACTGGAGAGATTTTTTTTATTCACTTCCTGTCTTATGACACAACAGGAAGTGAGAGTAAATCTCTCCGAAAGGGGAATCCACACCCTTAGCTGTCACTCTAAGTGTTTTCATAGCAAGACGTCCCCTCCGTTCTGGTGACAACTCACCATCATTTTCAGCCCCGGTGACAACAATCATCAGAGTACATCGGCTGAATCGCAATAATGGGGACGCAGGACAGCAATAAAAACCGGACGGGGTTCCGATCCTTTCCTGCTCCATCCACAACGGGGGAAAAAATGGCTTTAGATCCACGTTAAAGGAGCAGCAAGTCAGCGATACGAGACGAATATAAAAGAGCGATTTGTAACATTCTCCGATGATGTGTGTGTCAGAGTTCTCTCATCTGAGCAGAAGAGGAAACAGCCGACTTCATATAACACTGACAGTTGTCAGCGCTGATAGAGGAGCGTACCATCAGATCCCAGGACAGGAAATCCCCCTCCCCCCTCCTCCTCCCCCCCAACAATCTGTCATCATTTTTGAATATACCCTAAGGAGAACTATGGGGAAAAGCCTTAACCCCAGAATTCTCCTTTAAATTGATATTAAAGCCTAACTTTTTTTTAAAAATTTCCTTTAAGGAGACCCTCCTTTGCTGGGGGCTGTTGATTTTATCCGTTAAAAGTTTCTAATTCCTTGTTTTCTAGTGGTTCCCCCGCAGCGCACTTCCCCCCGCCCCCTGCACGGGTGTCACCATCGTTCTAATGGAGGCACCCGTGCGCGCTCGTTTCACCGCGTGTTTTCACTGAATATTCACTTCCAGCTATTGGGAAAGTTATCCTAAAATTGATGCTGAAGTTTAATCTGCTCACTTTGTATCTCCCCAGGTTCCCCCCCCTCCCGTCTCCTTTCCCTCACAAAGCTCTTTTATATCAGCGATCTTGTATTTGTGGTTTGCTGGCCCTTTAATCGTCTACGGGAGTATCAAGGAAAAGAAAAGAAACTTATTGTTTAAGATAAGATAACAGAACTCCAGGAGATCGGACATGAAGGCAGATCAGTAGTACATAGACACCAGTGACAGGCAGTGAGTGATGGTCACATGTGAGAGTACCTGGAGGCTATTGGGCAGCCAAAGTTCTAAGCATCCAGGCCGCGTCCTCCGCTTGAACATGAAAACAGTGTGAAGAGCGCATTCCCGGGGTGCAGAGCAGGGAGATGGAGGGCGCATCCTCGGGGGGCGGGGAGGGCACGTTCCATTATACAGAGCAGCAGTTATTAGAATGAAGCCCTTTAGCTACGGCGTGACTTGGAATGCTGGATCAGCCACTGTAGAGTGATATCTGGGAAGAGAGGATTATGGGAGTTAGATGCGCCTGCGCAATGACCGAAGGAAAAAAGCAGAAGCGTTACCTGTAACGGGCCAATCGTATTTCAGGTTACAAAACACAGAATTGCGTTTAGAGCCCAATTCCAGCTCCCCCCCTCCTCCTCCCAGAACCTTATGATTGCTAATAACTGAAAGCATACATTCCTCAATTGTAGGTGGTTACCTGTAACAGCCAATCAGATTCCAGGTGAGAAAATACAGAATTACCTTTAAAGCCCAACCCCAGCCCCTCCCCCCTCCTTCCAGAATCGAATTTTAATGCTGTAAAGTAGGGATGCACCGGCATGGAGCTGGCTTCCTGGCCAATCGGGAGGCGAGTCATTACCCACGGCTAGGGGGGGAGAAGAGTGCGCGAGAGAGGAGCGAGCAAGAGAGAGAGGAGCGAGTGAGCGAGCAAGAGAGAGAGAGAGGAGCGAGCGAGAGAGAGAGAGGAGCGAGCGAGAGAGAGAGAGGAGCGAGCGAGAGAGAGAGAGGAGCGAGCGAGAGAGGGGGAGGGAGGAGGGGGC